TTTAAACTTCTGGTATGGACAGGTGATATTAGAAGAACAGTTCCACTCTTGTATATTGGTAGTGGTGTTTCTTATCTGTGGGTGGGGGATATGCAACTGTCAGACTGGGGAAAGCACAAGCCACTTTTGTTTTGAGCCGCTACCAGAAGTCGAATAGTTTGCTTGAAATATGGTTTAGATGCAATTAACATGGCAGCACAGCTTTCATCCTGTCATAGACTAACTTGATTTGTGCCTGGTCCCAAATTTGGTTGCATGATAGTTGTGTGGTTTGATTTTAGCTCATTGTTGGGTGTTTAGTTAATGGTCTCATCCTCAATCAGTGCCATTTTTTTGTCAGTGTTTAGATAACTTCATTCTATTCACAACCTCCTTGCCTTTTTAAATATGCTTTGAAGCCTTAAGTGTATTTCATATATAAGCATCTGTTTGCATTTGAACTGTAAAGCTTGCGTTGTGTATTGAGACAAAACTATTAGCATTTAAGTGTTTATTGTGACAACTTTAATATTGTCATGGTAGGGGGTTTTCTGTTAACAGTTGGTAATTATTCACATGTGTAAGAAGTTACCTGGTACAGAACATATACTGTTATTGAAGTTTTAAATGTGCATATACTTTCTTTATGGCCATTTGAGTCATCTGACTAGAAGTGTCTAAACACATCCACTCTTTGTAAGACATTTTTGGGATGATGATAGGTAACTCATTTGTCCCATTCCTATCAGTAATGTAACAGCATTTGGAAACAAGTTTGGTTTGTGATTGGGCAGTTGCTGGACAGTTTTATATAGGGTACATTTTGAGAGTGGCTTTGTGCAGGAGACGGGAGGAAAGCTAGAAGTAAGGGAACCGCCCCCACGGGAAGAGCCTCACGTAGAGCCTATTAATGGGGTGGTGCAACCACCTGTGGTCCCACAGCCGGACCGTCCAGGCCGTGTCACCAATCAGATCCAGTTCTTGCAGAAGTTTGTCCTGAAGCCATTGTGGAAACATCAGTTTGCTTGGCCCTTTCACCAGCCAGTGGATGCCAAGAAATTGAACTTGCCTGTGAGTGACATTTTTTTTTTCAATGTTGATTAATTTGTTGCTTTGTACTTACAAGAAATTAATATAACTTGTGATTGGAATTTTCTTTTATCTTGTAGGATTATCATAAAATTATTAAACAACCAATGGATCTTGGTACAATAAAGAAACGTTTGGAAAACAACTATTATTGGAGTGCCAAGGAATGCATTCAGGATTTAAACACGATGTTCACAAATTGCTATGTATACAACAAGCCTGGTGAGGATGTTGTTGTCATGGCGCAGACCTTGGAGAAATTGTTCCTCACAAAGGTAAGAATGCACAAGGTACAATACTTTGAGAACATGATACACTTTGAGGGACTAGTATTATAATGTGATTGTGATTTTGCTTTATGACTGTCAAGGTGGCTGGCATGTTCAAAGAAGAGGTTGAGCTGGACCCACCTCCTCCAAAAGGTCCAAAGGGGAAGAAAGGCCGCAGCAACTTGGGGGGTTCAGGTAGTGGGCAACGTGGACGCCCATCATCCAGTAGCAGCAGCAGCGGTGGTGGTGGTGGTGGTGGTGGTGGTGCAGTGACATCGAGTGTCCCCAATGCTGTTGGCGCATCTCCTAGCTCAGTGGTTCAGTCATCCCCCGCAGCTCCTATTGCCACGACGACGGGTTCTGGTCACCTCCCTCTTGGCACGCAGCCTCCGACCACAGTGCCGGGGAGTACTGCCACCACCACTGTTCCCACTCCTGGATCTGGGTCCCTTTCACATGGCACACACAATTCACTCCCACAACAGGTAAGTGGGCAGATCTGCGTCCAGACCTTGTGTTGTGTGTGCAGGCATCCAAGGAATGTGGACACTTGTGCAATTATTGTAGTCAGGGGTCATGTTGTTATCCTAATAAAGAATGTCTTTCATGTAGCCCTATTGGAAGAAGTCCACTGGAATGAAGTTGGGTGACCATGGGGACAAGGGAATGGATCCAGCACACAAAATCCAACGGTTGGGGAGTCGATGGTCCAAAAATGTATGTACATTCTTTATGTATGGGAATTCTTCTGAATATTGTGTGTTGGGAAGAGGAAAGTTTCCTTGGATGCCTGTCTGTTGTGATTTTGGTTTGAGTAGGTTAGAGTGATTTGCTTGTTACAGGTTGCTCCACCAACAGGAGGCTATCATGCGCAGCCAGCCCTTATGTCACAGACAGTGGATGGCCAGCCACCTCCTGCAGGCACAGTACATAGTCAGAGTGTGCCACCCCCAGTCATACCTCCTGCTCAGCCTGCCAAGGTAAGGTACTCTTTATAACTCAGGAAGACATAAATTTACCGGATGTCTTATTATGGATGGCAACATTAATACTCCTGACTTTCTAGGTGAAAAAGGGGGTGAAAAGAAAGGCTGACACTACAACACCAACTGCAAATTCTTTTGACCCACCATTTACACCTATGGAATCAAAATCTGCCAAGATCTCAACACGGAGAGAGTCAGGACGACAGATTAAGAAGGTTCTTACACTTTTTATTTGTTATCTTGTGGAGTATATATAGCTGTGTACTCTGCTTTCTGCTTGTTAGCTGTAGTAGTGTAGAAAAGATTGGTGGACACTAACTGCATGAGGCCACCTGGCTTAGCTCATGATGATTCTTACTTTTATGATGAAGTAGTTAGAGTTGGGTGGTGTGATCCCATTGCAGCCTCAACGGCAGACGGAGGATGGTCTCCCATTCCACCAGGCAGCACTACCCCTCATGTCCTCTGGGCTGAGCAGCCAGGTACGTGGACACATATTTAACTTTCCTCCTACCAAAACTTCATATTGCATTTGTTGTATGGAAGTTCATTTAGAGATGTTTTATGAGGTCTGACTTGGACTAGAATCTGTAAACATAAAATAATGGTCATCTTCGAAGTACACTTGTACAGTAACATTTATGTGGTACTTGTTTGAATGATTATTATCCCATCAGCAGTGTACCACAATTTTTACTGCACTGTACTACATTTAACTGTTATCACTGCATGCTCTGTTATACAGGATACATGCCAGTTATTGCTACATTTCCATAGAATAAGTTTCGAATACCTAATTTTGTCTTAATTTTATTATATACATGTGTGCGCGCGTACGTGCATGTGTGTGTGTATGTATATGTATGTGTATATATACATATATATAAATATACATACACATCATGTTATATATTTTAACATTTATTAAGTGACCTGGTGCCAATTTTAACCAAGCATCACCATGTACAACATACTGTGTGTGAATTGTTTAATTCTTGTATAGTCGGCACAATAGTTTTTGGCCGGTGGAGAAGCTGGCGGATGGGCCTACTCTGCGTGCCTGAGGTGGCACGGTCAGTGTATTTCTTTTGTTTGGGCTTTCAGTTCGATAAGCTCCTCGTCCTTCCTGGAGGCAGATGAAACATTGTACTACCGTACAAGTGCTTCTCTCCTAGCCTTCCCCTTGAAAATTTCACCGGCAAAAAACTACTGCGATCTCTATACATATGTTCTAATACAAGTGCACTGCTGACCTTTTCTAAAAAAGTAATGGACACATTTGTCATTTCCTTCCTCCCATGTAATCAGTCACAATGTCTTTGTGCACTTTGTACAGTGATGTTGATATGTTTTAACAGTTCTGTAGTCTCTCGATACTGTATTGAGTTAATTGACTGCATAAGTAGTACTTGGCAGATTATAGTCAGATAGTTCTCAGCTTTAGTTAATTTAAAAGTTCCTTCCAAATTCTTATCCATAATTATCCACATTTTTTTATGATTACAAATTTGCACATGGTTACATAATTGTAAGTTTACGGAGCATACTGTGTCACTTCTGAAACGAATTGGTTACTAAGTCACTTTCTCATAGAGCAGACCACTTCCTGACCAGCTGATAGTTGAGCAGTTAATAAAAAAAATTCTCTGCCTGCACTCTCGCACCATATTTACATTTCTTACATCTATGCTTTGGTCTCCCAGTTTTCCTCCTCCAAATTTTATGATTAAAATCATGTTATGCATATTTCGTCCATCAAAAGTGAGCTTCATTTAGTCGGTGCAATGGTTCAGTTAACGTTTCTCTGTCCTGTGAACTTCATTATTTTACGAGATATTTGGCCCAATGTGTGTAGCTGTTGTATGACGGTGGTCCACACATCTAAGCAGTGTAGAGTAATTGTATGTTCTATACTGTATTTGTATTTAGAATGTACTTATTTTATATCTTGGTTGTGGTAGTTGGCTATTCTGGCTGGGGTTTTTCTTTTTCTTTCTCTCTAGGCAAATGATGGAGTAGTATTTTCATATAGACCATGGCTATCTACTATACCATTTGAGGTCATCTTCAGATCACATTCAGTGCTATAATGTCTCTGCAATTGAATCACCATTGTTAAATAAACCACTTTTGAGAAACCTTGAGAAATGTATACTGTTTTATGATAGGGGAAGGTGTATTTATTAATCCATGTTGGGGATTCTTTCATGTGTTTCATTCCTGTATTTTAAGTTAAGAGAGAGAGAAAAAACTAAGATCCAGTAAGAAAGAACATCTTTTGCCTTTATTTTTAAAAGTGGTCAAGTACGAGGGTCGCTCATTAAGTAATGCCCCACATTTTTTTTCTCAGCCAATAATGAAGATAGAAAAGTGTACTTTTACATGCTTGAGATTTGATGTGTCCCGCGTTCGTGTACGGAGTTTCAAATGATTCCAACCGATAGCGGAGCTGTAGTGAACTGTTAAAATGGCGTCTGTGAACGACTCTCGTTACAAGCAACGAGCTGTAATTGAATTCCTTGTTGCTGAAAAAGAAACGGTGGTGAACATTCATAAACGTTTGTGTGCTGTGTATGGAAGCTGTGCAGTCGATAGGAGCACCGTTGGTCGCTGGGCTAAGAGAGTTAAAGCTTCAGGAAGTGAAGAAACCGAGCTCCGTGATCTGCCGCGCTCTGGGCGTCCTGCCACAGCCACCACTCCAGACATGTTGAACCGCGCGGATGCCATTATTCGTGAGGATCGGCGCATCACAACTCGACAATTGGCCCAACAGCTTTCAGTCAGCAATGGAAGTGTGATTGCAATTATCCAGGCTCTCGCATATTCGAAGGTGTGCGCAAGATGGGTTCCACGAAGTCTCACAGCAGACCACAGGATTCAAAGGAAAACGATTTCTTCTGAATTGTTGGAGCGTTTTGATGCTGAGGGAGAGGTCTTTCTGTCCCGGATCATTACAGGTGACGAAACCTGGATACACCACTTTGAGCCAGAGACAAAAAGGCAGTCAATGGAGTGGCATCATCCTCAATCACCGAGAAAGAAGAAATTCAAGACAACTCCCTCCGCCGGAAAAGTCATGATGACTGTCTTTTGGGACAGTGATGGGGTCATTCTTGTGGATGTGATGCCAAGAGGTGCGACCATCAATTCAGACGCGTACATCAGGACCCTGAAAACCCTCAAGAAGCGTTTTCGACGAGTTCGGCCTCACAAGCATCCAGCGGAAATTTTGCTCCTGCACGACAATGCACGCCCTCACACAAGTCTGAGAACCCGGGAAGAAATCACCAAATTGGGTTGGACGGTGCTGCCCCATCCACCCTCCGACTTTCATCTCTTTGGGCCACTTAAAGATGCTATCCGCGGAACAAGATTTGAAGATGACGAGAGCGTGATTCAAGCAGTGAGGACATGGCTACGTGCACAGGACAAGAGCTGGTACCGGCAAGGCATGCATGCCCTTGTTCCACGCTGGCGTAAAACCGTACAAGTTGATGGGGACTATGTGGAAACATAGTATGTGTAAAGGAAACATTGATTTATATTGTCACTAAATTTGAGCCATCTTGAATAAATATGTTCTGAGGAAAAAAATGTGGGGCATTACTTAATGAGCGACCCTCGTAATTACCTATTAATATGTGAAAGTTGTTTTGGGAATCTTTATTGTGACTTTTTATGGTTAGTTTTCGAATGTGATACAGTATGAGAAACAATTACAGTACATACTATTGTCTCATGATGCAAGAAGTGAAAAATGATACATTGACATTGGCTTTCTGTTTCTCAATGCATATAATATTTTCGTACTATGTGTTGTAGTTAAGTTTTTTGTTTTGTAGAATGTAACTATATGAACATTTTTGGAGCAAATTTAGTTTCAGTATAAATACCTCAGTGGACACCAAAGGTACAGATTTGACCAAAATGTAGGATCAGTAGTGAAAATCTCAACCTGTGGGGAAGGTATCCAGTTTTTAAATTTTACCACATATTTGGATTTGTTGAAGGTACATTTTTGTTAGCATTGACCTCCCACCCCTCATATGCATGTGTTAGCTGTGTGTTGTGATTTGCGCACATTGTCAGTCAATATGTTTTACTTTTCCAGCCTCCGCCCAGTGGTGGAAAACCGAAGGACAAGTTAAATGATTCTCTTAAAGCGTGCAATGAAATCCTAAAGGAACTCTTCTCCAAGAAGCATTCGGTTAGTATTAATTTCTTTCTTCATTCAGATTCTGCTATTTACATTGTCAGGAGATGTGCTGCGATCCTTTCATTTATGCTATGACCACACATTCAAGTGAAATGTAATAGGCTCATAACTTTTTATTCTGGTCACATACTGGGAAACGAATTTCTCTATGACAATGGCACAACACTAAACTGTTTGTTAATAGACTGTGGGCTTGACATTTGTGCTGTGCTACCGAGATTTGGGATCTGCTCATGAAGGTTAGTGAATGTAAGTTTTTCTTATATTGATGTACATTTGTTTAGGGTTACGCGTGGCCCTTTTATAAGCCGGTGGATGCGGAACTTCTGGGGTTACACGATTACCATGACATCATCAAGAAACCCATGGATCTCGGAACAGTAAAGGTGGGTGCTATGTTCTGTATTTTGATTTACAGATTGCATTGAGCAGCAGTTTTACCAGTGCCTCAGCTGAAGTTTGTTTGAAGATTTCTGTCTTCTGGGTTGTTGCGCTGTGTAGTCTGGTCGATGTTAACCAACGTTTCACAGGTCATACTGCCTAAGAAACAATTATGAACTAATTATCTCAAGATGAGAAACAGTCCTGAAGTTGTAACAGCAGTTTATTTTATTAATAGTTTTTATATTTTCAGTTACAGAAACTGAAAATGTAAGTATTGTGTGTATATTTGTCAGACTTTTATTTTAAGAAGAAAATAAAATGGTGAATAAAATTGTGCACCAAGTTATGCTATTATTCACCAGATTAGTATTGGTGTGTGACAACCCACAAGCCTGCTGCTCATATGTTCATGTTTCATGTGCCTGCCCTAACTGTCCTACATAATGGTTGCAGTGATGAATTAAGTGCGTGTTCAGGTGTATCATTGTTTTATTAAAAATGCAGTTTTATGTAGCTTCTGTATGTACTCGATTATTACTGGAAATTATAAGTGGTTTCCTTCGTTAATTAATGGTGACATCTAGATTTAAACAATAGCCATGTTGCGTCCAGCGCTTAATCCTGTCCTAAGTATAGTGGTAGAGTAGTTATGTGATATGTTTGGTTGTCAGGTGATAAAATGAGAGAGCTGTATGTAGAGACTGAAACAGAGAGTGTGCTCCAACTTTGACGGTTGCTTCTCAGAATACTATTGGTTTTTGACAAACTGTTGAACTGCTGTTTATGTTCATTGGGTGAAGGGTGGTGGATTTTTTTTCCGTTCCCCCCCAAAAAAACAAAAAAAACTTCAATAATAACTTAGTTTGCCTTTATATTTGTCATTTGCCTGTGCAGACTATTGCTGAAGATAAGCTTGTGTCTAAAAGTTTTCAGCCCTGCACTCCTACCAGTTTCTATTCAAGGGCAATCTCTCGTTACTTCATGCAATTTCATTTGTCCAATCTGCTGTTATTCAAATAATTCATGTTGTTAAGCATTCATAAGACATGTTTAATTGTACAGTATGACAACTTGTTTGTTCAGTCTTATTGACAATAATGTCTGAAGCTTTGAACAGTATTTTCTTACAGACTTCTTAATATTTTGATGTTTGTGTTGGTTTCATATTTTTTGTGTTGATGAAATGAAGTCCATGGGTTGTGTAGTGCTCTCAGTAACTCCATATAGAGGGAAGTTTAAAGTAGGCTATGAGAACAAGAGATGGAACGTTATTTCACCCATAATACTTGTGGTTAAATGTGCTCATGGATTTGAGTTTTATCCCATAATGAGGAGAGTTGTGTCCAAAGAAAAGAGCAGTGTACAGTTTTTGGCATATTGAGATGTTTGCGTGCTTGTTATTCCCGCTCTGCCCACATGTTTTCCCTTTCTACTACTCATTTTATAAATAGGGATTATGTCCTTTAACAGCATTAACTAGCTGATTTGTAATGGAGAAGTGTTGTGTTTTATTTGTGGTAGGAATTGAATTTGTAAATATTATTTAGGCGAGCTTTGGTTTCAAATAATTATTAAGCCAGGAACTGTTTATAGCAAAAGATGGATAGCCGGGAATACAAGACAGCTGGGGAGTTTGCAGCAGATGTGAGATTAATATTCACAAACTGCTACAAGTACAACCCTCCTGACCATGATGTGGTGGCTATGGCGCGGAAGCTGCAGGATGTGTTTGAGATGAGGTCAGTATTGATTAACTACCTAACTCCGTGGAGCAGTCTTTCCATAGAATGTTAACAGTGTGTACAGCTAATCAAGAAATTGGCCACACACCATTTGTCTATCCTGTGCCGTATGAATCCAATCAGTGCTCCTGAGCCCAATTTTCATAAGATCAATTTGACTATTATTCTCCTTGTGCCTAGGTCTTCCAAGTGGTCGCTTCTCTTCAGGCTTTCCAACCAAAATTCTGTATGCATGTCATCATTTGCACTGAATGTCCCACCAAATTCATCTTCCTTGATTTGGTCACCCCATTAGTGTTTGGTAGAGGGTCAGTCTTGAATAACCACTAAAATTAAAACTTACCATATTTATGTCAAGATAATTTCTAGGTTCAGTATGTGGAGTAAATGTAGTGACTTTGGCTGGGAGAAATATTGGATCCAAGAGAGTTGATAGGAAATGGGGAATGTAAGAAATTGCAGGATGATAGACCGCATGTTGTGTTTATAGAATAGTGGAGTTGGTTGGTTTTGGAGTTTGATGGGGGGGGGGGGGGGGGGCATGACAAGTGTTCACATTTAAATCTCTTGGAAAGTAGCTACTTGAGAGATAGAGATGGGAGAATGAAGTAAAGTGCATATTAGAGAACTGTGTTGTGTGAAGATGTGAACTGCTTAAGATTGTCTATTGGTGGGTTGGTACTAGTGACTCAGATTTTCAGGGTTTTGTTGCTATATTGTATAAAGGTTTGAAGTCAGTGTTTATGATGTTGAGTAGGTATGCAAAAATACCTGATGAGCCTCTGGGTGGAGCCATGGCTCTGGAGAAGTCCACCACATCCAGCACATCAGGGTCAGAATCAAGTACAAGTTCCGACTCTGAGTCAGATGATTCTGAAGCAGAGCGTGTGCGGAAACTGGCTCTCCTCCAGGAACAGGTAAGACTGGAAGTTGGTAATATTGGCATAATAGAGATTTCATTTTGAATCGTCGTATTGAAGGTGCATTTAGCAGAAAAACGCCACATTCAGACCTGACTGGAAATTATCAAATCCCACTGCAGCTTGGCTGTGTTTGGATGTTAGGAATGTTTTGCAACCATATTGTACTGTCAAGATCTTCTGATTTCTGGACCACAGATTTGTACTAACAGGTACTAAACACAATGCCACATCAGAAATTTTTGACCGTGTGTGTTTAACAGTGAAACGTTGTGTTAGAAATCTTAAACTGCAGGTTTGTGTTAAATTACTATGTGGACACGATATATATTATAGTCACTAGTATTGACTGAGCCAAGGTGTATTTTATAGTGGAGGAAATGGACAGTAGCGAGTAATGTGGTTATATTATAAAACACACGACAATTTTCTGAGGGAGATATTACTAGGAAGGGAATATTCCATCATTTAGAGACAGAGAATGTAAGATTGTAAGAAGTATGTTTTAAGAAGAAACTTGGAATTTCAGTTATTGTTACAGCATTACTGCAAGTAAAGACAACGATCCAGTAACAAGATAGTGTTTTGCTTGTGTTACGAATATTGTATATTTGTTTTAGAACTACTGATAATTAGTGCGTTATATGTAACTGGTGCTCTATATTGAATATTGTCTGATAATTGTTTGTAGTGTTTTGTCAGAAATTTCAGTGGTTTGGATTTCTCAATATTACAGTTGAAAGACATGCTGGTAGCTGTGATTGGATTGAATATAATTTATTTTTAGTGTTACCTGTTTTCTTATTCCCTCCTCAGCTGAAGGCCATGCAGGATCAGATGAGAAAGTTGGTAGAAGAAAGTACAGTGAAACGAGGCAAGAAGAAGAAAGAGGAAAAGGAGAAAAAGAAGAAGAAGAAACCAGAGAAACATTTAAGTAGTGTGAAAGAAGTGCGTTCTTCAGTGGTGAATGACACTGTAGGTGCTAGCATTGCGAGTGTTGCATTAGGGGCAGGGGATGTAAAGCTGCCAACAGACTTGCATCATAATGTGAGTGCAAAACAATCTGGTGGTGCTCATCATGCTGCCCTGGCAGGCCCTCCCGCACAGCCAGCTGCCACCACCACCACCACTGGTGCAAAGAACACTAAAAACAAAACAGCTCGAGGTGCTGGAAAAGCAGCAGGGGCAAATACACAACCCAAGCGGCCTAAAGCCAATTCAAGGTCGGCTGGCAGTAAGAAGAAGAACTCTGTGGTACCGCCACCAATGCAGTTTGATTCAGAGGATGAGGACAATGCCAAGCCCATGTCATACGATGAGAAGAGGCAGCTCAGCCTTGATATTAATAAACTGCCAGGTTAGTTCACCCATCATCATGGAATGCCATGCTTTGAACATTTGACAACTGCTTTGTTCTTCCATCTCACAAATGTCTTTGAACTACACGAAGTCTACTTTCATAGCCTCAGAGGTTAAGTTTTATAGTTCTCTATAGGTGCAGCATAATACAGATGCATCTAACAGTGTAGCATTAATTTAAAAACTTGTAAAGTTAATTTCTTATTTTTCTTTAATAGCAAGTTTCCTTCCTCGAAAGTTCCGTATTTTAGCTGTTCATTGTGTGGAAGTCATGGCAGTATAAAGGTGTGTTGTGGAGGAAGTGGTAGTAACAAACTGAAGTCTGTTTTGTTTTAACAGGTGTGTTTTGGAAAAGTATGATGTGGTTACTTTAATATTTCTCTTTTCTCAGATCCCAGTTTTACTTTTTGAGTTTCTGGAGGTTAAACATTATCCTGAGCTTAATGTTCACTTGCATTATTGCAAAGAGAAAAGTTAAATCTAGATTATTCAGGTTTGGTTGAAGTTACATAAGGATGCAGTGTAGTGCTGTAGGGATGGTTCTTTACTAGGACTGAGCCCATATCTGTTTAATTGCGTGTTGAATGGGTGGCATGCTCACTGATTGTTTTGATTTTATCAGTTACGTGCTAGTCTACAGTAATGTGAACCCAATTCTCTTGTAGGTGACAAACTAGGAAGAGTGGTGCACATCATTCAGTCTCGAGAACCTTCTTTGAGGGATTCGAACCCAGATGAGATTGAGATTGATTTTGAGACGCTGAAGCCATCAACACTACGGGAACTGGAGTCGTATGTTGCATCCTGTCTTAGGAAAAAGCCACGTAAGCCATACTGTAAGTTTCGTTACTAACGACACACCAACGTGTAGTATCTCAGTGCTGATCAGCTGGTGCAGCAGCTGGTTTCACTGGAATGCTATTTGGTGTGTGTGGTTCTGTTGAGCATGGGGGTGGGGGAGTAGTTGACCTTGCATGTGGTAGCATTTCTGGATTGGTTAAGGCAGGCTTCAGTAAGGGGTATGTGAGAGCTTTGTTGTTTGCGTTGTGTCTCTCCATTGTCGTGTTGTCTGTGCGTAAATGTAACAGTGGATACTTTGCGTAGTGCGGAACAGTAATTATGTGATAGTGTGGAAGATTCGGGCTTAGATGTTGGTCTTTCTACAGGTGGAAGGTGATTGGCACGGGAATCGTAACAACGTGTGCTGTGCAGTGAATATTAAAAATCTAGTCAGCCCTCTGCCTCACTACCAGAAGTCCAGCTGGAGAGCAGCAAAACGACGCTTTCTTTGGAGAGACACTATGCAAACATTTAGGGTGGGGGATATACAGTGCATTTCATTCAGTTTTTTTATGTCTTCCTTTTTGAGACTTTCGGGCTTTAAATGCTATTTGGTATCGAGCTCCTTTTTAGGTTCGAGAAATCTAAGCAGTCTAGTCAAGAAATCAGAGGGATGTTTTGTTGTAGGTCTCGAATATCGGTTATGTGCAGTCTGTTTTAATTTGTATAAATATTATTTTGTGGATGGTATTGTGTGATAAGGGTAGGTCAATTACACCAACATGACAAGCACAGATTCTGTTTAGTCTTGCTATAAATATTTTTATGTTTAAGTATGTATGCTACAACATGTTTGCTATGTAAGTGACAGTAGAACACGAGTGATGTTTTTGAGGAATGTGTTTGGGTGAATGAGTTGTGCTCTTGCACCATGCAGATGACGGCTGAATTATTAGATTGATTTGATACAGAACCTACCTCTTAGAACAATAAAATTATACTTTTGAAGATTGTTGGTGTAGTTGCTGGTTGGATGCATCATCTGAATGGTGGCACATGTGTAAGAGGCAGAGAACCACGCACACAAAGCTAACAAACAGGTGGTGGTACAGAATGATTGTTGTCATGTGTTCATAGTGTTCTGTGATATTTACACTTGTAATATTTTTTGTAGTCCCAGGAATTTGTAGGTAGTTGATGTGGCTAGTGCTGAAGCATTAAACGTGATCGGCATTAATGAGGTACAGTCTATAGGTAGAGTGAAGATAAAGGAAGACTTGTTGTGGTTTGCACACACACATATGCACAAAAATAATTTGAAGCTGTATCATGTGCCAGATACCAGTATTGAATTTTGAAAATTGTGCAAGGAGTACCTATGCTGTGTATACATGAGACTGCAGTTCATATCCTGACCTAGATGAAACCAGTGAACACCCACCCCTTTTCCTTAAGGTCCATTTTATATTAATCTCCCATCTTCATCTAGTTTCTAATCGTGTCTCAGAAACTGGAAATTCTGGTCAAGCTTTTTCATGGTCTTCCTCAGCCATCCCAGAAAAGTGTTGGGATAATATTTTAAGTTATGTCACAATTATTTCCATGTTCTTTACTGATTTTCCTGTTATTTGATATTGTATAGTCTGAGAGCTATTGACTAACTAAGTAAATCAGGTTTATAGTTAACCACAAATTTCTAAGTGAAATATTGAAATTACTCTAATTCATGCTTATAAGAATCACCTTTCTGATGTTTCAATTTAAATGACTCTGATTTAATGTAAAAAGGCTGGCCCTGTTTGTTTATATTTAAAACTTAGTCGTGTCCTATTAATCTTCTTAGATTTTTACTTTGTTGGTGTTCTAGTGAATAGCTAGCACATAGGAGGTATTCAGAATTCTGTCCCACAATACTTGTACTGGATACCTGCAGGCAGGGTCCAAAAGCCAGTTGTGGGTTTAGAGGCACTAG